ATTATTATTATTATTGGATGGGCGGGATATAAATGCGAAAAATAAACAAGTAAAATAAATAAGGCAAGCGACACTCAAAGGTGGCCTGCCACTGTTTGCCTCTCCACAGCGATCCGGGACTTCCTCTGTGGTCTCGCGTCCGAGCACTAACCTGGGCCCACCCTGCTTAACTTCCAAGATCAGATGGGACTGGGCTTATCACCTCTAGGGATGCTCTACCGTGCACGCACCCGGTTCGGTTCACCTTCAGATGACCAGTGGCTTGACCCAAAAAGGGAACATGTCACCAATGGTTTCTGTTCGCCACCCAGCTACGGTTGTGGAGGACACACGCACTGGCGACCAGCTTATCCCCGGAAGAGATAAGAAGCCGATTGCTTTTGTATTTCCCCCCCCCCCTCCAGTTCTAGAAATGATCAGTAAGTATCTTGCCTCCCTACTGATCACTTCTCTGCCAGAGAGAGGGTTGCTGGTGGGTCAGAAATCGACTCCCAGCCGATTCCCATCTGCTAGGAGTTGGCTTCTGATGTTCCCCTGTAACCTTTCCTGCTTCTCAGCACAAAAAGGCAAGGACACGGGGAAAATGCTGCGAGAGCAGAGGCCGATTCCCAGCTTACTTCCCGACCAGCTTCTGACCTGCTGAGCAGCTGATTCAGCAGGTTGAATTGCTCGGTGCAACGTGAACATAACCACGATGGGCTCACAGTGCGGCCCAAAGTGCCGAATAGGTCCGCTGCAAAATCTGCAGCATTCCTGATTGCCTTATCATAATCCTTACAGCCACAAGGGGAGGAGGGGGCAACGACAACATGCCTTATTTTAAAGCTACCTAGGATGGTGGGAGATTTGAACTCAGGTCTGCCTGGTTCCCAGCCAGGTCTCCAAACGGCTGCCCTGTATTATGCTCACTCGTGAAATGAAACTGGAGTCGGAAATCTCGGCAGGTGCTAGCTTACCCGCTTCCTCCCTCTATCGTGAGGACTGGGAATCTTCGACAGACCTTTTAAAATTCTCCGGCCGTGCACCCACCTGCATTGCCAAGCTGTTTGTAGAACCGGTATTCCAAGTGCAGCTGAGGCGCTCTGGACTTGATCGGTTCCTGGGGAGGCAGAGGGAGAACAGATTGGAAAACCCCATTCGATATCCCTTGCAAAGTTACACCCAGGTTCAGGAAGCAACCATTACACCAGCAGCTGCTGTGACCGCAACTGCTATTGCCATTCAGACGCCCCCTTTCCCACCCTTGGCTTTTATGTTGTAGAAAGACACCGAGCTCTCTTGCGAGGCTTTTATTGACAGCAAGGGCCCGGCTCTGGCTACGACCACTACAGAGTTTTTAGGTCTTTGTTTCCATATATTGTTTGGAGCTGCGGTGGCTCAAGTGGTTAAGACGCTGAACTGCAGGCTGTGGAAGGTCGGTAGTTCAGCAGTTCGAGACCCGAGTGTGCCGCATGACGGACTGAGCTCCCGTCTCTAGTTCCAGCTCCTGCCAACCTAGCCGTTCGAAAGCAAGAGATTGCAAGTAGATAAATAGGTACCGCTTCGGTGGGAAGGTAACAGCATTCCGTGTGCCTCGGTGTTTAGTCATGCCGGCCACATGACCACGGAAACGTCTTCGGACAGCGCTGGCTCTTCGGCTTTGAAACGGAGATGAGCACTGCAACCCTAGAGTCGGACTCGACTGGCTTTCAAGCAAGGGAACCTTTACCTTTCCATATATTAGGGAAGTGTTTCCCTAACCTAGGGTTGCCAAGTCTACTTACCTTGGCGGCGGGGGAGCCTCGCCGGGCTCCGGGAGCTCCGGCGATTCGCGCACGCGCGCCGCCAACATGTCACAGGAAGTGAAGCGCTACGTTGCTCACGTTGGGGGCGTGGCCCCAATCGTCGGAGGGGTTTTCCCTCCGACGATCAGGGCCACGCCCCCAACGTGAGCAACGTGGTTGCGTCACCTCTGGTGACACAACCACGCTGCGCTTCGGGGGGTGGAGTCCCCCCCCCGGGGCCAGATTTCACGGCGGCGGAAATCGGGCCTCCAAAACGGGGGCTTAACCCCCACCCGCCCCCCCCTGGCCGCCCTAACCTGTGGGTCATGAAACCTCTGAAATTGGGTCACAGACTAGCCCTCCCTAATGCCTACTGCTCTCTTTGGTATTTTGGAAACCCAAGATCCGATCCAGCCAACAGTATCTTCCATGTCATACATTAGCTGGTATTTCCCCCCCACTGCGTATACAAGGTGTCAGTCAAGCAAAACGTGTCCTGATGGTTACTAGAGAGAGTTCCTGAGAATCTTGGGCCTAGAGGGAGGAATGGAGAAGGAGAGGGTGTGTGTCAAAGGCAGGAACGTAACCGCCACATGCCAAGGCTGCATATGCTGGAACGCCACTGGCTCAGGGTTCAAAGTCCGGGTGCCCTTGGTGCCATACTTGTTGGCTTCTCCAAAACATCTGGTTAGCCACTGCAGAAAATGGAATGTTGAACTAGATGGGTGTCAAAGGTCACAGGTGGTCTAGGGTGCCAAAACACCCTCGGGCCAGCCCTGGATGGGTCACCACACCAAGTACCAGTTGGACTTGTGGGTCACCATATGGAGACGGTCGGGACCCGCTGCGTTAGGGCCCTTTGGATGACATTTTTGGTACTGGGGTGTCTTTATTACAGGCATTCGACACGATGTTTTTGTCATGTCTGGGGGATATTCCTGTGATGGACATGCACAATGTGGTTAAAAAAGGCTACACCACACACACCCAGGATAATAGACACGATAAAACAGAGAAGGAGAAGAAGAGGAGGAGGAGGAGGAGGAGATAGGAGAGGAGGAGGAGTCTCAGAGCAGCTAAATCCCTTTCCCTTCCCCTCCCCAAAACAGACATTCTGTGAGGTAGGTGGGGCTGAGAGAGCTCTTTTGAGAACTGCTCTATCAAGGACAGCTCGTCAGAACTAGGGCTTGCCCAAGGTCATCCAGCAGGTGCAAGTGGAGGAGTGGGGAATCAAACCTGGTTCTCCCAGATTAGAGTCCACGCACTTAACCACTACACCAAACTGGCTCTGAAGAAGAAGAGGAGGAGGAGGAGGAGATAGGAGAGGAGGAGGAGTCTCAGAGCAGCTAAATCCCTTTCCCTTCCCCTCCCCAAAACAGACATTCTGTGAGGTAGGTGGGGCTGAGAGAGCTCTTTTGAGAACTGCTCTATCAAGGACAGCTCGTCAGAACTAGGGCTTGCCCAAGGTCATCCAGCAGCTGCATGTGGAGGAGGGGGGAATCAAACCCCGGTTCTCCCAGATTGGAGTCCACGCACTTAACCACTACACCAAACTGGCTGGATAAATCTCGTTTCTATCCCACCTTTGCTCCAAACATGGGTCTTCCCTCCTCCATTTTATCTTCACAACCCACCCACCCAGGTACGGTAGGCTAGACCAAAAGACCGCAAATGACCAAAGGTCACCCAGGGAGCTCCCATGGCAGAGGAGGAATTTGAACTCAGACCTCCCCAGTCCTAAGAACATCAGAGCAGCGCTGCTGTAGTAGGCCTGTGGTACATTCAGTTCAGCATCCTGTTTCACGCAATGGTCAACCAGGTGCTTCCTCTGGAAGGCCAATGAGCAGGTCCTGGAGGGACAAAACCTCCCTGTTGTTGCCATTCTGAGGTGCAGTGCCACTGAACATGGGGGTTCCATTTAGTCCAGAGGTGTCGAACTCATTTGTTATGAGGGCCGGATCTGACCTAAATGAGACCTTGTTGGGCCGGGCCATGGGTGCCATAAAAGGTAACGCCAAGTAGCGGAGATACATAAACTTTATAAAGGACACAAACATTTTTTTGCTTAAAATAAAAACATGCTTAAAACATGAGCACTCCTCCAATATTTCGTTTATTTAGCAGTGTCTGATAATTGACGCCTAATTGTTGCATCAAAAGGTTTGTGTTGTTGCAATCTTGAGTATGCTGTTCAGGTGTGTACAATGACGCAGCAGCAGCAGAACTGGAAGAAGAAGCAGGTGGCAGCCAGTTCCACTGCGGGCCTGATGGAAGCCCTCCGGGGGCCTCATCCGGCCCCCGGGCCGCATGTTTGACACCCCTGATTTAGTCGCTACGGTTAATAGCCACTAGCGCCTTTCTCTCCAGCATGAATCTGTCTGATCCCTTTCAAAGTCATCACTGTGAGTTCAGGCAGTGAGAGCTGTGCATGAACTTGCATCAAATGCATCAATACTACACAGCCGTGGGACATATGGATTTCAGCATATTATAGCCATTTTAGGATGACCGCTACCTGTAGGCCTTTTCTATTTGGCTGCTTTTTACTTTTTAAACGTCCTGGCCGTCGTCATAGAACGTTCCTTTATCACAGACTGCAGTTTTCAAAATTTTAAAGATTTTCTCGGCAGCCACCGTGTGAATCAAAAGTCCAGCCCGTTTGGTGTAGTGGTTAAGTGTGCGGACTCTAATCTGGGAGAACCGGGGTTGATTCCCCACTCCTCCACTTGCAGCTGCTGGATGACCTTGGGCAAGCCGTAGTTCTGATAAGAGCTGTCCTTGAAAAAGAGCAGTTTCTGTCAGAGCTCCCTCAGCCCCACCCACCTCACAGGGTGTCTGTTGTGGGGAGGGGAAGGGAAAGGAGTTTGTAAGCTGCTCTGAGACTCCCTTGGGTAGTGAAGGACGGGGTATAAATCCAATCTCTTCTCTTCTTCTAAAGTGTCAGACTAGGATGAGGAAGACCCAGGTTTGAGTCCTCACCCATGCCATTGGAAGCTCGCTGGGTGACCTTGCGCAAGTCACATGCTCTCAGCCTAACCGACCTCGCGGGGTTGTTGCGAGGATAAAACGGAAGTAAAGAGAATGATGTAAGCCGGTTTCGGGGGAAAGGTGAGGTATAAAGCAAGTAAATAAAATACAATATATAAAATATGCTCTGTTGGGTGCATGTAGAGATGATCTCCCCTTTCCCCAAACGACTCTGTCACTGGGTTTAGGGAACATCTGGTGCATGTGCACACACAAAACATGGGGATCTGTTAATCATAATCCACCCCCACCCACCCCCGTTAAAACCGGTATGGCCCAGCGGCAGACAATGGGAGGGGGGAGACGTTTAAAACCATCAGAAGCAACTTACCAGCTTGATCGCTACATATTCATTCGTGTAGAGGTTCTTCCCTGCAGAGGGAGGTGGAAACAAAATAAAGGTGAGCATGAACAATAAATAGCAGGACTGCTTCCCTGTTTCCGAAACACGGCACTTCAACAAGCCTCAGTTTGGGCCGCAAACTCTGGTTAACCAACAAGCAGTTAGCACAAACGGCAGTTACTAACTGGCGCTCGATTAAACCAGATCGTAAATTCAACCTGGGAGTTTCTGCAAGTGAGCCTTGCCAATCAAAGAAGAGAGAACATAAGAACATAAGAGAAGCCAATGTTGGGTCAGGCCAATGGCCCCTCCAGTCCAACACTCTGTCACATGGTGGCCAAAAATACCAGGTGCCATCAGGAGGTCCAGCAGTGGGGCCAGGGCACTAGAAGCCCTCCCACTGTTGACCCCCCCCCAAGCACCAAGAATACAGAGCATCACTTGCCCCAGACCGAGAGTTCCTATCTATACCTTGTGGCTAAGAGCCACGGATGGACCTCTGCTCCATATGTTTACCTAATTCCCTCTTGAAGCTGTCCATGCTTGTAGCCGCTGCCACCACCTGTGGCAGTGAGTTCCATGTGTTAATCACTCTTTGGGTGAAGAAGTACTTCCTTTTATCTGTTCTAACCCGACTGCTCAGCAATTTCATGGAGTGCCCACGAGTTCTTGTATTGTGAGAAAGGGAGAAAAGTACTTCTTTCTCAACCTACTCTATCCCATGCATAATCTTATAAACCTTGATCATGTTGCCCCTCAGCCGTTGTTTCTCCAAGCTAAAGAGCCCCAAGCGCTTTAACCTTTCCTCATAGGGAAAGTGTTCCAACCCTTTTATCATTCTAGTTGCCCTTCTCTGCACTTTTTCCAAAGCTATAATATCCTTTTTAAGGTGTGGTTGCACCATTGATTTATATAGGGGCATTATAATACTGGCTGATCTGTTTTCAATACAGAGATTGGATTTATACCCCGCCCTTCACTCGGGAGTCCCAGAGCAGTTTACAGAGCTTTCCCTTCCCCTTTCCCCTCCCCCTCCCCACAACAGACACCCTGAGAGGTAGGTGGGGTTGAGAGAGCTCTTTCGAGAACTGTTCTCAAGAGAACAGCTCTGAAAGAACTTGTGACTGACCCAAGGTCATACCAGCAGCTGCATGTGGAGGAGTGAAGAATCCAATCCAGTTCTCCCAGATTAGAGTCCACCACTCCTAACTGCCACACCAAACTGGCTCTCAGCCAGTAGCTCACAAGTTCATTCACACCAGCCCACGGACCCAAGTCCAAGTCATCCATAGCGTGGCTCAGGAGGTAAGGAAGAGGGCAGGAAACCCATTCTTCTCCTAATTGCAGAAGCCTGTCTGGGCACGATACAGACCCCTGCCTGCAAACAGGCAGGCCGTCTCTGTTACGGACTTATCTACGCGAGATTGAGGAAGAGGCAGTAGAAAGGATGGCTCATTTCCCTCCCCGTTGGCAGCCCAAATCCCATTCTTTACATTTTTTTTAAGAAGAAGGATTGGATTTATACCCTGCCCTTTCACTACCCAAAGGAGTCTCAGAATGGCTTACAAACTCTTTTCCCCTCCCCACCCCACAACAGACACCCTGTGAGGTAGGTAGGGCTGAGAGAGCTCTGACAGAAACTGCTCTTTTTCAAGAACAGTTCTGACAGAACTACAGCTTGCCCAAGGTCATCCAGCAGCTGCACGTGGAGGAGTGGGGAATCAAACCCGGTTCTCCCAGATTAGAGTCCGCGCTCCTAACTACTACACCAAATTCTCGCTGCAAATTAAAGAGATGCAAACTTAGCATATCAAGAAGGAAGTCTGGGTCCACCCCCTGCAAGTCTAGCTTTCTCCTTGCAGAGCCTTGTTTCCACCCTAAAGAGGACTTCCCAGAAACTGAGCACTCCACTTCCCCTACCAGCCACAACCTGTTTTATCCCACATGTAGACAGGGTGCTCTTTTTTTTGGGGGGGGGGGGAGGCTTTGTACCATCAGTTTGTGTGCTGAAGAATTCTCAGCTAATTCATTTAACATTCCTGTATGCTCCATTTAAAAAAACAATGAGTTGCCTGAGATGGCTGCTTTTCCAACAAGTCGTAAGCTGTCCCTGCAAGTAAATTTCATCAGTGATGTCCGGGATCTTCATGCTTGTAGAACAACGCAGCACACAGGGCTTTTTTTTTTCTTTTTTCCATTTTAAATTTTTTAAATTGAGTAATATAAAGGGGAAGAGGGTAGGGAATAGGGAAAGGGTACAAAGGGTAAAATGAAAGAGAATAATGCTTATAATTACTTCTACATACAATGTTACATTATTAGTTCTACTTATACAATCAGGCAGGGCTTTTTTTGTAGAAAAAGCCCCGCAGGAACTCATTAGCATAATAGGCCAGACCCAACAGCAGGGACTCATTAGCATATTAGGCCAGACCCCTGACAGCACAGCTCATTTGCATATTAGGTCACACCCCCATGTTACCAGAAGTGTGGTCATCCAGCCACACCCACCGTTTGCTTCTTATTCTCTTTATCTTGTTTGTTGTCAAAACCCAGGGCTTTTTGCATGTTAGGCCACACATCCCTAATTGTAGCCAATCCGAATGAGTTTCTGCTGTTGGGTGTGGCCCATTGTGCTAATGAGTTCCTGCTGGGCATGGCCAGCTTGGGAGCCAGCTGGAACTTCGTTCCTGTGCATTTCTGCCCAAAAATAGCCCTGCAATCAGGTATATAGGCCAGATAATGCGGGCGGGAGGCATGGCTTTTTATGCCGGTGCAATTTAATGCGCCAGAACGCGATCAGATGCCGCCGCGGCAAAGTGGGGGTTTGTTTGTCGGCGGGTGTTTTCGGCGCACGTCAAGAGCGCGCTCAAGTGATCGCACGTAGGTATTCCGTCAATGGCCCGTAGCAAATCGTTTGCTAGTAGGCTTTCCCGGGTATTTTTAAACTCCAGATCTTCGGGCGGATGCTATGGGTCGGCGATGAGTGTGCTATGTTTGCCAGATGTGTCCTTGTGATTGCGGCCGTATACTCCGCCTGACCGCCGCAAATTCCTCGTGTGAACAGGGCCATAGAATCATAGACGCATAGAATGTTAAGAGTTGGAAGGGATCTTGAAGGTCATCTAGTCCAACCCCCTGCACTCTGCAGGAGCATAGCCGAAAGATAGCCCAGCTACATACCCGAAAGATGGTCGTCCAGCCTCCGCTTGAAAACGTCTGGGGCAAGTGATGCTCTGTATTCTTGGTGCTTGGGGGGGGCAACAGTGGGAGGGCTTCTAGTGCCTTGGCCCCACTGGTGGACCTCCTGAGGGCACCTGGTGGCAGAGTGTTGGACTGGATGGGCCATTGGCCTGATCCAACATTGGCTTCTCTTATGTTCTTATGATCACACCTTAGTGCCTTGCTAAAATATCATATTTATCGCCTGGTGCTGAGCAGAAAAACACCACCATAATCGACCCTAATGTTGGATAGCTGGCCTTGAACGGCAGACATCCAGAACGATAATCTAGACTACTGAGATTTTAAAGTGGACTTTATTTACTTAAAAGGAGCTCTATCCAGCCCCTGTCTCTGCTTGAGACGTCATGAATTAAAATATATTTTAAAAAAATTATTTACGTTATTTATTTATAGATCGAGATGGGTAGCCGTGTTAGTCTGTCCGTAGCAGTAGAAAAGAGCAAGAGTCCAGAAGCACCTTAAAGAGTAACAAAATTCAGGGCAGGGGAGGAGCTTTCCTGAATCACTGTTCATTTATTTAGATACTTATAGTCCGCTTTTCTCACAAGGACACAGGGCAGATTGCACGGAGCGAGCTTAAATACAATTACAAAAAAGGGGCTATTCAATAGCCAACACCAGAAAGAACTATGAAGCATAGCACGAGTATTCACATGACGCATTAAGCAGGAAAGGAATTACATTTTAAAAATCCTCAAAAAGCATTACATCAATTTAAAATACATTTTTAAAAAAGACCATACCTCCGCCACAGGAGAGGCAGATTAACTTTCGGTCACGTATCATTACATGCTGTACAATGGAAACTTAATAAAGGATTCTAGAGCAACTAAACTGACACACAAACACACAGTCAATAATTAATACGAAACGCGCCGTCTAAACGTTCGCACGCCCGGTTCAAGGCAAGGTTGTAGCCACGACTCTAAAGGTGCAGCGTGAAGATTTTTATTTTTTGCGCTATGATGGGGTGCAGAATGTACAACCGCTGGGATGCACGCAGGCTGGCTCAGAATACGGATGCCCCGCTGGGATCGGGGGTCCGGACCCCTCCTACCTAGGGTTGCCAACAGTGTTCCCTCTAAGCTGAGTTAGTGCGAGCGAGCTCACAGTTTTTTAGCCTCTGGCTCACACATTTTTGTCTTAGCTCCGGAAGGAGGGCTCCAGAGCAAACTAATTTATGCAGCTGCCAAATCGCTGGCTCACAACTTCAATGCCAGGAGCTCACAAAGTAGAATTCGTGCTCACAAGACTCCACTGCATAGAGGAGGAGGAGGAGGAGGAGGAGAAAGAAGAAGAAGAAGAAGAAGAAGAAGAAGAAGAAGAAGAAGAAGAAGAAGAAGAAGAAGAAGAAGAAGAAGAAGAAAGAAGAAGAAGAAAGAAGAAGAAGAAAGAAGAAAGAAGAAGAAGAAGAGGAGGAGGAGGCGGAGGAGGAGGAGGAGGAGATTGGATTTATACACCGCCCTTCACAACCCAAGGGAGTCTCAGAGCAGCTTACAAACTCCTTTCCCTTCCCCTCCCCACAACAGACACCCTGTGAGGTAGGTGGGGCTGAGAGCTCTTGACAGCAACTGCTCTTTTTCAAGAACAGCCCTAGAGGGAGGCAACAAACACATGGGAAAGGCAAGGTTGAGCAAACGTGGCATGTTCAAACAAAACACACAATTCTGATATGCTGCTATGTCTTCATATATTTGTTTAAATCACATACTTAAATATACAATAAAGACCCTAATATATCTTATTAATTATAGTAAACCTAAAGAAGAAGAAAGTATCTTGT